TCAAATTGTTCATTCAAGAATTTATTTAATTTATGGCTATAAATTCAAAACCGTCATTCAAATTTGAATATTTAAAATGTATTGCATCTAAATTCGATTTTTTTTAATACACGTATAAAGCTTTAAGACTAAATTAATACTATCAGTAAAAGGTGCTCTTATTACGTCCACTCCAAGTTTTTGCTCGCTCGATATATTTATATCGTCTACCATTTTTTGAATAAGTGAAAGTAAGATTCAATACTTCGAAGTCATTTATTTTGTTTTGAAAGATTATTAGACTTTTCATGAACAATTGAGTGCCTAAAACATAATATAGTCAACTCTTTCTATAACAAACTGACGGTTCTGGAAGAAAATAAAAGTTCGCTATAGAAAATTACTTAAGAACCATTGCACTTTCTATACCGAACTATTATAAAATTATAAAATTTTGAGTTCGTTATATCTAGAGTTCATTATATAGAGGTTCGTTATATCCAGAGTCGACTGTATTAGTAAAATACAATATATGCCAGTGAGAATTATGGAAATTTCCGGAGATACAAATAACACTCAAAGATTCCTATAATGTTCAATTCGTGGCTCTCTATCGCTATTAATTTTCATCATTTTTTTTTAATTCTCTTCTAAAGCTCACAGTAACAGTTGCACCAATAGATAAATGAAAAGGATTTGACCTGTTTATTACGATAATGTTTATGGTGAACATATAAATGACCGTCTCTTTTGCATAGAATACGATCTCAAGTGTTACTGTACTTGCCAAAAAATTCATTGATAACATTTTTAATTCGTTAATCATTTGAGAAATATCCACATCTATCTCAAGGTATTGCTTTCTCCATCAATATCCGTAAGTTTTTTAGACACTGTATGTTCAAGCTATTCAGATTCTATAACGAGTTCTTTTTTCTTGCAAATGTTGTTTAAAGTTTGATCTTCACGCTTCCTTTTTCTGCTTTCATTTATGAGGGTAAACACTCAAAGCATGTTTTTTGATTATTTTGAAATGCAAAATGGGTTTCATAATTCGGCAGAAAAACAACGATGCATAAAATGCTTATTTTCTATATTAGCAAATTACGGTAAAATCAAAGAAATAAAAATTTATATATTATTTTTATTATTGTATGCATTACTAATCAAATATTATCATTATCGTTATTGTCACGTACATGATTTTGGTGGCGATACCTGGTGGGTCATTTTACTATATGCCAACCCTAAATCAAACTCTAATATAAGCAATAACCCAAACTTTAAATTTTTTTCGTTGTGGCACACATGATCATGTGCCGGTGAAATTTTGGTGGCGATCTAGAAGATTCTGCAGGTGATACAAATCACGTGCCAATAGTTTGTTGTTATTTCGCTAAAGCACGTGAAATTTTACCAGCGTTAGAGCTAGGATTAAGGTTGATATAAGTAACGTCCCATAGTAAAATTTGGCTAGGATTTTCTTTATTAGAACGTAAAAGGTGATTTCCTAGGCAAAATTTTAAGTTATCGGCGATGTTTTGAAAAACCTTCGATTTCATGTTATAAAGATTGCACCTGATCTTGCGATCTACATATAAAAATTTCCTTTTTTGGATTTGTATCACTTGCAGAAACAGTATACGTTTTTAAGGGACCCCCTGTGTGTGCATCTATGTACCCACCGCCTGATTTGGAAATCACGCTTGTTATCCACGTTTTTTTAAAAAATCGCTTTTATCTTGAAATTTCGCTTATGAAACTATTTTCTGCGTTTTAACAAAAAAAATTCCTTGCGAAATTTTAGTATAGGTTCTTTTTTACAGCCTTGCCCTTACCCTAACACTATCCCTAACACTAATTGACGGTATTTTTTTTAAAAAAAAACAATATAAATAACGAAATCACATAAACAACGATGATCATTTCCATTTTAGGCGGTGGGTACATAGATATATCGATATCCGGGACCCCCTTATTTGTCTTCCTGTAATTCTCACCCCTAATGATCGTCAGTGTTGTAGTTGCACCAAAAATAGTTTAACCGTTCAATTATACCTTCGCTTTCAAACTCATATTTTTATACTTTTATGTCTTTATACTTTCGTTCTATTATACTCCTTCGTTCTTTGATTTCTTCATAACTTCGTATTTTATACCTTCGTGTTTTTATTTTTTATTCGTGTTTTTTTATAGCCTTTTTATATTTTTATATCTTTCGTATTTTTAGCATGTCTGATATGTAGATGATAAAGCGGAATTCAAGCTAGTTTATCACATGAAAAGCCGGTTTTATGGAAAGTATAAGATTTTTTAAAAAAATATATATATTTGGATTTTTATGATGTAATTTGAACATTATATGAGAATCGACTTAAAATTGATGTAAAGGATATTAAATCAATTTGCGTGAGAGAATTTAATCGATCAAGCCTCCGATGAGGAATGGAACAAATCCGCTGATACTCGCTTTTAAGTCCTACCATATGGGCAAACCTTTTGATTTGAATGATGTGATTATTAAATTTACAGCTAAGGAAAGGAATTGAACCATTAAACACAATTCCGATTTATAATTATTAGCTTTTATAAGCAATTTATAAGCGGGTTATAGCTAAGGCAAGCAATTTTTAATAATCACCAAAATCAAGAACAATTTCCCATATGCGGGCTGACGTACTAGACGTACATTGAGTAAGTGCCGCGGTTTCATCCGCATGTCCATCAATAAGTTTCAGCTGCGTGATCTTAAAATCGATATCAGGTCTGGATCCGTCAAAATCATCGACGTATATCACTTTGTAGATATATGACGGCTTTGAATCCCCTTTTCACTAGAGGGATTTAATCGATTATCTTTAATACGAGGGACACTAAGTATTAAGGACTTTTGTCGATTTAAATAAACTCTTTTCGTTAAGATCTGGGATTTGAACTTCCTTTTTCCGTGTGCTGAAGGAAAATTGGTCGATTAAATATTGAACTCTTAATGCAAAAATTTAAATGTCCTTTAGTAGATAAAGTTGGCAGAACGAAATTTTAATTCGATACAATTATTTATTACTGATACATTATATTTATATTTGAGTAATTGATTAAATGTGCAACCGTGAATAATATATTTTTATTTTATTATTATTATTATTATAGAAATATTACGCTTTGAAGATGATAATCTAGTTATTTTCCACGATGAAACCTGAATCAGATTTAGGTCCAAAGCGAACA